CTTGGCATCATACTTCTCCATGATAATATTAAATTTCAGAAAAGAAAAGAACACCTATAGGATAGTGTGAATAAAAAGTCAAACCAAGAATTCCACAAGTCAATTTCATGTAGGAGTAAAGGCAATTAAAAGGCACTCTCAATTATGCAAAATTTTAAATGCCCACAAACTTTTCTTTAAAGAAAAATTTACTTCATGACTCACTCAAACCAAAAGAGAAAAAAATAATTCAAGAAGGCAAACTATGAAAGAATCTATTGATGAATAATGAAGGCATACAAGCACAAAATTAATTAAATGCAACTATTGTAAGTATAGTTACAAAATAGAATGTAAATACCATGATTCTTTTTTTTTCCTTTGGCAGTACTGAGTTCTTTTGATATGAACTCATGGCCTCACATTCATTAGATAGGCACTCTACCAATTGAGCCACACCCTTTTTACTCTACTTATTTTTCAGATATGGGTTCCAATTTTTGCCCAGGCTGGCTGGGACCTTGCTCCTCCTACTTACATCTCAATGTAGATGGGATAACAGGCACATACCACCATGTCCAGCTTTTTTTGTGTGTGTGATATGGATTCTTGCTAACTTTTTACCTGGGCTGCCTTGAATCTCAATCTTCCAGAGCACTGCCTCCACCATAGATGGGATTACCAGCATGAGCCACCACCACACCTAGACAAATGTCATAATTCTTAGTGCATAATTGTAAAGTAAAGTTTAAAATCCCAGGTCATACCAGCACAAATTTACAACCTGTGTGGGGTGGAGCAAAGGAGAAGGAGAAATATAGGTAAGGGATAAGGAGGAACATGAGGAAGAAGTGTCCTGATATTCTTAACTTACAATGATATTATTTGATTCTCTATGCTAGTAAATAGAAAAAATAGGGCTATATGGGTTTTTTCTGCTTTTTATTAGCATATATTAATTGTTAAAAAGGATTTTATTGTGATTAATACAATGTACTTTCTTCAAATTTACTACACAGGTTATTCTGAAACAAAATAAATACTAGGAAAAAATCAAGGAACACACAGTCCATGTAGCAAACAAACCTACAAAAGACAAAATAATAGAACAGAATCATTATGGGTTGGAGAGGTAGCTCAAGAGGTAAGAGCACCTGCCTAGCAAGTGTGAGGTCCTGAGTTCAAACCTCAGTACCACTGGAAAAAAAGATAACAGAATCATCAAACCAAAATAAAATATTTTCATTGATATAAAACATAATATTCAACAGAGACATAGTTTGAATCATTTTGCAGTGAGAAAGCAGGCATCAGACTATAGGATATAGGAACAGAAAAGTAGTAGCAGTACAAGACTCCAATATGCTTCCTTAGTCCTTGACAAATTGGTAGAAGACAAAAATATACAGGACCTGAATATAATTTACAAGTCTGATTTAAAGGATAATAATAGAATGTTAAGTGGAAATATTCTCTATGTCTAGGAACTCCCAGCAGAACCACAAATCTGAGCCCACTGAATACTCAGTGTCTATACACTGTAAAAAGCTAAAACTCTTCAGAATTGCTTTTTTTAAAAAGCGGCTCCAAAATGGTCTCCAACTCCTATTTCACCTTCCACTCCTAGATTATTTAAGAGATAGGTAAGACTTAATTGAGAGGGGCAGTCCTTGAGGAGAGCTATCAGAGGAGAAGAAAGTGCTGTGGTGTTGCCCCTCCCCTACTCCTCTCCTCTCTGCATGGGGGGCTTAAGGAAAACCTCTGAGACTTTTTAGGAAGCACTTGCTAGGATGGAAGGGTGACTTCTTATCCATAAGACATTCATCTGCTAGTCTGCAGACATTCGCAAGGCTGCCACAGGAGCCAAGCTTAGAGGAGCTTGATGTGTATCCTAGAATTCACTGGGACACAGACACAGTGACAGTCTCTTGTCTGAAGAAAATTGAAGGCTTGGATAAGTGTTTTTTGTGAGTCAAATTTTTTACCATACTATTATAGCAATTATCACACAAATATCAAGAATGTACATTCATTAAATCATGGCATAACCATATGACTGAATATTGTTGAGTCAATGAAAATGCAAAGTCTTTGGCATGAGAAAATGTTCATGATATAATTCCAAGTGAAAACTACTTAGCAAAATATTATTTTCATTGTATTAGTTCAAGCTAATTTGATAAAATACCACACACAAGGTAGCTTCAACAACATTTATTTCTCACAGTTCTGAAGGCTGGAAGTCCAAGATCAAGATGCCAGTAAATCAATTCTTGGTGAGGGCCTTCCTCCTGACTCACAGACAGCTGCCTTCTCACTGTATCATCATATGATGGAGAAGAGAGAGAGAGAGAGAGAGAGAGAGAGAGAGAGAGAGAGAGTGAGTGAGTTTGAGCAGACTTTGGTCTGTTGATCTCATTATAAGGGCAATAATCATAGGGGCCTCACTTGCATGATTTAATCTAAACCTAATTACTTCCCAAAGGCCTCACCTCCAAATACCATCACATTGGGGGATAAGGCTTGAACATAAGAATTTAAGGGTACACAAACATTCAGTCCATTGTACTCATTGTGACCCATTTTTTTAAAAATTGAAAAAAAATCTGTATGGGTATGTATCAGGGTAACAAGAATATTTCAGATTTTGAAATATGCTAGTATTTTGTTCTTTTATGATTGTCTTACCAAAGTCATGGTGGTAAATTATAACCCAGGGATAAAGGTGGAGACTTATCTAAAACAAGTGAGTGCTCTTGCTGTTCACCAGCCTAGGAAGTGGTTGGTCCCGGAGCAAGAAGTGGTGGGAAGTTAGGGAGAGCCTTTCTGACCCACCTAAGCCTATAGGACAGGCATCCAGATGTTCAGAACAGTTCATAAGGTAAGAGAAGGCACATCTTTTACTTTGTAAATTTCAAATTATTATATTGAATTTTAAATATATATATATATATATTCTTCTCTTATGCTCACAAATCACATGTATCAAATTAATTCTGCATGATAATTATATTAAAAGGCTCTCCCACTATGCTGCACTATTACACAGCCTTGAATGTCAGTTAGACATTGTTGTGTGGGCAGTTACCTGATTCCCTGATAAAAGTAACACACAAAGTTCTGTGGTTTAAGACAGTCTCATAGGAAAGCTGCCTCCACAGCTCCCTGGCATTCTGGATCTGGGATTAGACATTCAATAAGTAGCTTTGGCTGCTTGGTAGGGCAGAAATTCATTCAAAGAAAGATGCCTTTCAGTCTGAGGACTCAGGTCCTAGATAAAAGGCCCTGCTTCCAAGTCTTAACTGCTCACTCCCACACAGACCAGTTTCCAAGACTAGGAGACTACCAGGACTGCTCAGACTATCTAGGGCCATGGTGGGAAAGAATAAGCCGTCCTGCTGTGCATTAAGCCTTCATGAAATGAGTTTTGAATGAGTAAAGTAGTAATTTAGTCTATTAGTCTATATTTGAGTCACTGCAACATGGTGTGTTTTGGGAGGAAGAAGCTACTTTCTAAATAATAATAATGGGGGTGGAGTGGGTGGTAAGGGAGGGGGTGGGGGCAGGGGGGAGAAATAAACCAAGCCTTGTATGCACATATGAATAATAAAAGAAAAATGAAAAAAAAAAAAAGAAAACCTTTATAATACAAAATAAAACAAAACCAAGAAATGTAAAAAAAAAAAAAAAACAGATATGTAGGTGATGGATATGGTTATTTATGTGATACAGTGTGATATTCCCATAAATATTATTTAATGTGCAAAAAAAATAAATAAATAAAAATAATAATAATTTCAGATCCTAAATAATTGTTCTTTATTTTTAATTAAAATGTATCATTTATTGTTCAATCCTTTGCCCTACAAATATCTCTTGAAGTCACATCAATTCTACCTATTCCCTCTCATGAAGCTGTCTTTCTTAAATTCCTTCCACTGGTTCTAATCTGGTGTTAGCATGCTCCAGTATGTTTATGTCTTTTTTTTTTTTGGAGGTGCTGGGGATCAAACTCAGGGCCTTTTGGCATACTACACAAGCACTCTACCACTGAGCTTCACTTCCAGGACCCCACTCCCTAAGTGGCTATTAAGAGTGTAGTACAGGGTCAGGCATGGTGGTTTATGCCTATAATACTAGCTACTCAGGAGGAGATTGGAAGGATTGGGATTGAGGTCAGCCAGGCAAAAAGTTCTAGAGATGCCATCTCGATCAACAAATGTTGAATGTGGTGTCATGCCCCTGTCATCCCAGTTACATAGGTGTACTAGGTATAAATGGAAGACCCTATTCAAAAAATAACTAAAGTTAAAAGGGCTGGGAATGTGGCTCACGTGACAGAGTGCCTGCTTAGCAAGCACAAGGCTCTAAGTTCAAATCCCAGTACAGGGGAAAAAAAATTGTACAAAAAGTGCAACAGTACTTCCGTGGTCTCATTGGTACTGAGCACAATGAGATTACTATATGGTGAGTCTCACTACATGGTGTGTTTTATATTGTCACATCAGAAACGTACTTGGTAGCCACCTTTGCTAAAGATCTAATTGCCTGTCCACTCTTTCTTCACCTGCAGTTATGAAATTATTTAGGGAGCCAAGTAAAAGCTGTAATATGTAGGACACATGTTTGACTTACGGTCTAACCATTATAATAATTTACTTTTATTTTTTGTAGTGCTGAAGATCTATCCCAGGGTCACGCACAACCCCCAGCCTAACTGTTAACTTCATCTTATGATCATTACAGCTAATGAAATTTCCACTTAAAATCGGACAACTCTCAGGCCTGACCTGCTTCCGCCTCTGAAACAGAAAAGCTACTTTGCGCTACAATTACTTTGAGATTTTCAATCCACAGCATCACAACCCGCGCCTTTCAGCCTCAGCAACTGTGATTAACCCCGCCCCCAGCGCCCCAGCTTCCGCCCCCGCCCACGCCCTGCCTGAGGCAGGAAACACGGGAAGTAACCGCTGATTGGCTGGCTGGGGCGCAGCTTGATGGCGTCGGACTGGACCCAAGCTGTCCCAGCAGCGGCTTGCGGGTTAAGGCTGCTTGCAAGAGCTGGTCAGTGACTCTAGTGTGGAGCTGCCGGGGGCATGGGACGTGGAGGCCCGAGTCCTCCTCACACTTCCTCATGAGTTTCCTGATAGACTCCAGCATCATGATCACCTCCCAGGTGAGGAAACACCGCTATTCCGCACCTCCACCCTCTCTTCACCGCCCCGCACTGTCGCGGCCTCAGCGAAGCGGCCCTCGCCCGCGCGCCGGGACCCAGAGCCCCGGGAGAAGGCGGGATTGGCTTCTCCGGTCCCACGCTCTGGCTGGCGGAGGGGGTTTGCGGCCGTGGGCGCTCCCACCGAGCATCTATGTCCAGACTTCTCGGTCCTCCTTTGGAAGGGGTCTCCTGGCCTCAGCGCTGAGAGCTGGTGCCACAAGCGGGGAACTGTCCCCAAAGTTCCCCGAGGCTTCCGGACTGCGCCGCTGGCCCAAGAATTAGAAAAAAGTGCGGTTCTGGGCGCAGGGCGTGCGCGCGCCAGTGAGTGCTGAAGGCTTGGGACACGTGCAGGCTTTGCTGTTGATTGTCACAGCCTGAATCCGGGTGCGGAAGTGTTTGCCTCCGAGACTTCAAAGTGTAAAGTTCGCTGTGCACTGGCACGTCACCCTTGGTCTACTGCTTCTTATGCCTCCTGCTGCCTTTTTCGGACCTCGTTTCGTCCCAATTGGCCACCTTCATTCGTTCGTACAGTCAGCATTTATAAAGCTCCCAGAGCACAACGTGCAGGAGACACTACTGCCCCTGCCCTCTGGAAGCTTTGAAGCTTTGTCCGCTGTGACAGCCCCCCCCCCCCCGCTTCTACATGTCATTCATTCCTGTGGCTCAGTCATTTTCTTTCAAGCATTGTCATAGCACTGATACCATTTGTATATTTATGAATTTATTTTTTGAGATCAGTCTTGTCCAGAGTTGTGTACCCATCTCCATGCACTCAAATAATTGTTGGCTAGCTATTAATACTTGTAGAAACTCTGGTTACCTAATTATTGGTCTTTTTCCCCTCATCTTTCTGATAATGTGTTTTTCTCTCTTGTTTCTTTCAAATGGCACATAACGGAAATATTTCTCTTTGAAGGCTTAAATTAAGCCAAATTTTTGGATTTTGATACAGTTTTTATATTGCTTCATCCTAATGCTTCTGTCGGTAAAGCAATGTCCTTTTTTTTTAAATTTCTTTTTTATTAGCATATAATTAACAGTACAGATGGGTTTCATTGTGATAATTTCCATATATGCGTGTAATGTACTTTGATCAAACTAGCCCCTTTTATTGTTTCTTATCTTTTCTGTCTCGCCTCTTTTAAAACAATTTTCAACGGGTTTCATTTTTCATTCTATTTTCATGCATGAGTATGAAATATTTCACTCATATTCACACTTCCTTTTTGGGGGGAGGAACTCAACCTTGCCCTACTAGGCAGGCTCTCTACCACTTGAGCCATACCTCCAGCCCTTGTCCTTGTCTCTTAAAAGAGCTTTTATAATAACATTTAAGAAAATACAAAACAAGGCCGTTCATAGTCCCACCACTACAGTGACTTTTTGCATTTTAAAATTTAACATCTTTTATATGATTTCTATGTTTTTATTGGCTGTATAATATTTAAATGTATAAAAGTAGAAGAATCTGAACATGCTTAAAATCTTTCTAAGGCTTCCTATTCTCTTGTTTTAGCCCTAGTGCAAATTTAAGAAAAGTAACAATATTTAAGTGGCATTTTTTTCATTCAGAATAAAAATTTAAATGTTAGTAGAAAATTGCCTTTGCATTGCAGTTTTTAACATGACTATAATTAAAAAGTTGAACCAGGAAAGTGGCTTTCTAGTCTTTTCTGCCTTATATTCATATACTTAAATACTAAATTTAACTGTCCAATCTTTTCAGCACTAAGACCAAACGAATGTTTTGCGCTGAATGTTCTCTGTCCAACTATTTATGTGGCTACTTTATCATCATTTAGATATTAGTAAAAGTGTCACTTCAGAAAGGCTGTACCTGGTCCCCCACTCTCAATCAAAGTAGCCTTTCATTCTGGCCACTTTTCTTTCTTATTTCCTTGTTTTATTTTTTTCACAGCTTTTGTTGCTATTGTTTATTAACGTGTTTATATGTTTGTTATCTGTAAACTCCATGAAGTCCAAGATATTATCTTTCTTGTTCTTTCCTGTATCTCCTCATATCTGGATCAGTCACTTGTACATAGTGGAGACCTAGTAAGTCTTAATTAAAAAAAGAAAAAAAGGCACCTCGAGAGAGAGAGATAGTTACCTTGGAAACGACATTCAGACCCTATTTTTCCTGTTTTGTGTGAACTGAAATGTTTATTCGAAATGAAATCTGAAATCACAGGTCACATACTGAATTGTATCATCTCAGACAACATCACCATGGCACAGAATGGCACACAGATTCCTTAATATGGCTCACAAAATCCTTATGTTGTGACCCTGGCCTTTAGCTCTTCAGTGTTGGCTCACTTTACTTTGTACTCTATACTTCCTAAACATCCTTAACCTGGCAGTCATATTATGCCCCCAGATTTCTGCAGTTGCTTCTGTCTTTCTGGCTTTTTCCCCACATCTGTCCCCTTCACTCTCTCAGCCAACTCCAATTCAGCCTTCAGATTTCAGCTTGGACATCAAAGTAGCCTCTCCCAGACTGGATTAGACAGATGTCCCTATACAGGTGTCATAATACCCTTTACCCACTTCCCTCATAACAACCTACCATGTTGTTTTATATAAACCCCTGGAGAGTAGCATCCATGCTTTCTCATTAACTATATTAGTCACTAATAAATATTTGTTCTGTAAATAGAAGGGTGAAAAAATGGTCCTAGAATGGTGTCTTTTCCAGTGAGTTCTTTAATGATTGTCCTGCTAATGGCCATCTTTTTTTTTTTTTTAATCTATAGGTAATTTTCAACCTAGAGGTCATTTTTGTAACAGCAAGTGTTATCTCACTCATATGTTTGAGCCCTCTGTGCAGTAATAATACTTAACAGTTCCAGAGTATACTCTTAAGTCCAAAGGTCAAGTCTCTACACAATTCTAAGACTATAAATTCTTCTTTTTCAATATGAAGCTGTGCACCTTCCATTTTACTTGCAAACTTTGGAATTTACGTACTTTTTAGATCTATTATATAATGTTGCTGAATTTATATTTATCTTGGGTATAATAAATTCTCCACTTACCTTTTTTTTTTAAAGAGACATCTCACTATGTTGCCCAGGCTGACCCCAAACTTCTGGGCTCAAGCAAGCCTTCCGCCTCAATCTTCTAAGTTGCTAGAACTTTAGGCACACATCACTACCCAGCTACAAATAATTTCATGTGTGTTTAAAAGTTCTTTTAAGTTTTGTCAGTGGAGTTCCTGAAACAACATTAAAGGTATATATCTGTTTCTCTTCTTCCATTCCCCATCCCATGATACAAACTTATAAAATTTGTGGGGTTTTTTTGTTTGTTGTTTGTTTCATTGTCTAAAGTCCTATTTCAGGATTTTCTTGCTGATTTTTTTATTTTTTATTTTTTGTTGTAACTGAAGTTAAAACTCAGGGCTTCACATTTACAAAGCAGGTGTTCTACTGCTTGAGCCATGTCTCCAGTCCATTTTGCTGTGGTTATTTTGGAGATGGGTCTCACAAACTGGTTAGCCCAGACTGGCCTTGAACTTCGATCCTCCTGGTTTTAGCCTCCCCAGTAGCTAGGATTACAGATGAGAGCCACCAGTGCCGACCTGTTTCCACCATGCGCACGCCCCCCATCTGAATTGCCCAATTTCTCCACCTTCAGTAATGACATATAAACTTGACTCCAAACTCCAAAGGGCCTCCTAGATAGTCTAGGAATTTTTTTTCCCCTAATCTATATGCCCTTTTTGTTTTCTATTTGATCTGGGTTTGTGGATCCAAGTTACTTTCTCAAACCCTCTTGTTCCTTTATGTAAAAGCCCATACTTGTACCAGGCATAGTGGCACGTGCCTGTAATCCCAGCATTCAGATGGCTGAGTCAGGAGGATGGCAAGTTGGAGGGCAGCTTGGGCTGTAAACTGAGACTTGTCTCTTTTTTTTGAGACTCTTGTCTCAAAAAAAAAAAAAAAAGGCCACACTTGAATTATTAGTTTGTCTATCACTAATATAGGAGCCTAAAGGCTGGTGTAGAAAATCACACCCAGCTGTGCAGTTTGCTGATGGAACGTCTGCTGGAATCATTCTTTCTTATACCTAATCAGCTACTTATTCCATCCTTTCATAATTTCTCTGAGTCTTATCACTCTCCTCAAAGCCTCCTTTTCTATATTCACCTCTTAGCAAATGATCTCACCTCCTACTTAAACAGAAGAAAGGCCACACGATATGCTTTCCTTCTACTTCCTACATTTTAATCTAAGAGGTTATCTGTATCCACAACCATTCTTATTTCCTTGTCACCTCCTGTGTCAGAAAGCAGGGTGCCCCCATTCCTAGGTAAGGCTATCTTGTCTACTGATGCCTTTGATCTTGGAATAGCTCATTTTGAAGTGGTTAAAATAGAGTCCAGTCACACAGGCTTCAGTTTCAATCCTGATTCTGACACTCTAAACTTATGATCTTCCCTAAATATCACCTTTTTCTATGAAAATAGGATAATCCAAACTACCTTATTGGGGTTTTATGGTTTTATGAGATTATAAAATAAAGTAAGCTGGTCAATTTTAGCTGCTAATAATACTAATAAATTAATAACATCAGCAGCTCATCCTCTAGTGTTCCATCAGTTCCTTGTCTTTGTATACCCCTCCCCTACTGCCTTTTTCCCCTTCACCTATAAACACCCTTTACAAAACCCACTTTCTTCTAGGCTGCTATCTTATGTTTTCTTTCTCATTCTTGGTTCTTGTTAGAGATTATTTGTGCTTATTTTCTCTACTGTCTTTACCTCCTATTCACCCCCAACCCACTATAATCTGGGTCCTGCCTCTACCTCATTATTTCAAACTATTTTCCTTAAGGTCACCATTGATCTGCAAGTTACAAAACCATTTGAGCATTTCTCATTCATGTTTTATTTTCTTTCTGCTTCATATAATGCTCTTTAAACTTTCTATCCATAGTTCAAGACTTCACATTCTGGTTCTATTATTTCTTTGACAGTTCCTTCTTTGTCTCCTTCGTTGTTTCTTTTCCCCATTCCTACCCTCTAGAGTTTTGTTCTTGGCATATAGCTCTCTTGACCACATACTACTCCTGGATGATCTCACATTCTTTGCTGATTTCAACTCATAGGTGTATCTCTGTCCTGTTTTTTTATAATCTACCTTTTATTCAAAGCTTGTTGGATATTGTCCTAGATGGCCCTCAGTCCTCAGCATGTCTAAAACACAAATTCATCATTTTGCCCCTCTTCCATCCCCATTTCCAAACCACCTCTTCTTCCATTATTCTTTCTGTAAATTGGGTGTGGCCTCACTCTTCACCCAGTATTCCAAACTAGTAACCCTTGATGCCTCCCTGTTCCTTTTACCTTCGAAATCGTTCTCAAATCTGTTGCCTCCTCTTCTGTAACCAAAGTCTTTTATCATCTCTCATCTAGATTCCTCCTAGAATGTTTCTCCTCCTACAGTTGTTTCCTTCAGATGTATCTCTCACATATCTGCCATGGTGCTCCATGTAAAACATATCTGGCCATGTCATTTCCTGCTAAATAACCCTCATCATCTCCAGCATGTAATCTGGGCTCCTCAGAGGTTTTTGAGTACTCAGTGATTGATCCTCTGCTTCTCTTCCCTACCTTATTTTTAATCTCTTCCTCCTTTGAATGTTATTGTCCAGCATCACCAAATTGTGTAAAGTTGCCAGCATGAACCAGTGCTTCTACCTTGTCTGGAAAGCCCTGTCCTCCTGCCCCCACCACCTCTGCCCTTTGCATGCCTAATTCTTATTTGTCCTTTAAGGGAATGGTTCTTATATTTCAAAAAGGGGTATGGAAACCTTTCAGTTTAAATGAATGCCTTGGAACCGCTGTAGGAAAATATGCATAATCCCCCACATTTGCACACAATACCAGGTTATAATTATTTATTTGATGTCTTCATCTGTATTGAGGCTAATGGCCATCTTACTCACTATGAATTTCCATCACCTAGAATAGCACATTAGAAATTACTACATAAATTTTGAGGTTGAATGTTGTGGAAGAACAACCATCTTTCACTGTAGATCATTAAGCCATTCAGCAAACATTTAGGGAGAACCTACTGTATGCTAAGCATTATGCTGGGTGTTGAGAATACAAAGATCAAATAGCCAAATATGGCCCTTGTCCTCACTGAGCTTATAATAAAAAATTAAATTAGACATTATAAAACTATGTGTGGTCAGTACTTTGATAAGAGAAATACAAGGTAAAATAGGGTTATACACAAAGAGCAGTTTATCTTTATTCAGAGGACAGAGAACGCCTTCCAGAGGGTGTAAAATATTTGTTAAGACCTATAGAATTGTAAGCAGGAAAGGGATGGGGAGAAGTTCCTGTCAGAGGACAACAGAAGTCCCAGTATGAAAGAATGTGTGTTCACACAACCAGAGGAAGTTCCATGTGGCTGAAAATGTTTGGTAGGCAGGAGGAGCACAAGAGGCTGGAGCATAGTCTATGCTGTGTTCCCACAGTTCATACTCACCTGGCTCACACCTTTAATTCCAGGTATTTGGGAGGCAGAGATCAGAAAGATTGTGATTCTAGGTCAGCCCTGGCAAAAAGTTATTGAGACCCTGTCTCAATAAGTCAGGTGTGGTTGCATGCATCTGTGATCCCAGGATTATAGTCTAGGCCAGACAAAAAATGTGAGACCCTATCTGAAAAATAACTAAAGCAAAAAGGGCTGGTGACATGACTCAAGCTGAAGAGCATCTGTCTAGCAAGCTCTAGGCCCTGAGTACAAACCCCAATACTGCCAAAAAAAGTTTACATTTACTCCTGAAGTCAGAAGGATGGCAGAAGAGTTTTATTCATAAAACTGCCAACCAATATAAGAAGAAAAGAGGAGTTGTATCCAAGTATGTATGTGTTGTGTATAGAAGGTTCTGTCTACTAGTGAAAAACAAAGTAGCTTTGTCAGTTGTGTGGCAGTTTGAATCAAAACCGACAAAAGTGGAATCCTGCAATCTTATCTTTACACTGAGATGGAACCCTCTTTACGTAGATTAGGCAATATAGTGGAGAATCTAAGAAAGCTTTCTGAAGGAAATACGTGTAAAAAAATTAGTCTTTCTAACGCCTCTTCTGTTTTTATTTCAACTTCTTTCCCCTGAAGTTGTAATTTTTTAAAATACTTGCCAACAGGGAACATCTGTAAGAAGTAAGTTTCAGTGAGTCCTTGAGTCCTTGTGTAATGGCTAACTTCTGTGGCTCATAAAATGATTACCATACCATGACACTTTTTGTCTAACTTAAAATTTGTTCTATAGTATGAATAATTTAAATGATCTTATATCATTTTAAACATCTCCTTCCAATGTCATGAGTGGATATCATTTTTTATTACTAAAATAAGTTAACTGTCCAGTTAGCAGATCTTTTACATAAAATAGTCTCTCTGAGACATTTCTCAAAAGATGTATATTAACATTCTATCTCCTTCCTCCTCTAGATACTTTTTTTTGGATTTGGATGGCTTTTCTTCATGCGCCAATTGTTTAAGGACTATGAGGTAAGAAGAAATCATTATATTATGATTATACTATATGAATTTAGGTTGTTTAAAATGAAACAAGAAAAATGCTTCCATTAAGAAAGAGCACATTCACTTCTAAGATAGGAAGCTTTTGCCAAATGAGAAATGTAAAACTGCGGAATGTGATTAGGCTTAGTACATTTAAAAGTGGGAAAAAATTTAAATCACATATATCCCAGAAGATAGGAGCAACAAATGTCTTTTAATTAACACATGACCAATAGCAAACAGATATTCTTTGGGAGAAAATTTAATTTATGTCTCATAGATGTTCTGTGTTCCCTTTCACTTGTCTCTAGAGCTGAGAATTACACCTTCAGTTAATACCAAAATCCCAACACTAGTGTGGTTCTTAATTTCAGCCTTGGATTCAGAAAATGACCATCCTAAACTGGACATTTTCTAAGGAATCCTTATTTAGTAACAAGTTCAGTGGTTGTGGACTACCTTTGGGTCATTTCTAGGATATTCTCCATTAAACCTTCCCAGGGAAACTGGGTGGATGTTTGCAAAAGCCCAGAATTCTAGAGATTCTGTTCTAGATATTTTAAGGCTTCCGAGGGAAGGTTCCAGAACTAGTCCAAGGTCAGCAGTGTTGAAGAGCCCCTTTTAACACTAAACAGTATGTGCAGGTCTGCCATTGCTCTGTCAGTGAGCATAAGGAATTCTCAGTATACTTCTGATTCTGCCACTTCATCTTGTGTTTTAAATCCTCCAACCACAAGAGGATGTTGGTAATAGTGATCTATAATTCAGAAATGCCTACCGACTTTGATGTATTTCTTTGGCTCCATACCTTGTTTCTAGTGATCTGAGAATTTCTTCAACATTAGTTTTCTGACTTGTCACTAGAAGGAGATTATCCATTCAAAATCTCAAGCAAGGAAATGACTGATTTCTGGTCTCTTTCTGGCTTTGAACAGGTGCGTCAATACATTGTACAGGTGATCTTCTCGGTGACTTTTGCATTTTCTTGCACCATGTTTGAGCTTATCATCTTTGAAATCTTGGGAGTACTGAACAGCAGGTGAGAGTCCTGAATACCTCACTTCTTGCCAAATGCTGTACTTTCTTTAAAGTGGAAGAGTCTCATAGTGGAAAAAATCCACCATGTGGATAGTTTAACTCCAGTGATCACCATAAATATGGGTCTTAGCCACCTAGAAACTAGTTTTGCAAAAATCATGAGTTACCAGGAAAAAGTGGCTGACTTTTCGCTCTGAAGGACTCATTGAGAGTGAGGGAACTTAGGGGCCAGACCTCATGGTGAGAAGTTGTAGTTTTCTCAGGCTGTTCTGACTGGATCACTTCACATTATCCTGCTAATCCAAGATCTCTACCTGAAAAGTTCAGGATTCCTCAGGGATATTTCAGAACACTGAAATCCAGTTCTCACTATCTTAGTTACCTTTATTGATTTTATAGACATGCTCAAGTTTGATTGAACCTAGAATTGAACCTAGAATACTTTTTAAAACTTTTTTTTTAATGGCACCAAATAACAGACCTGTTAGTTTAGTAGATAGTCTATCTAAAATATTTCTTTTTTTTTTTTTGGTGGCGGGGAGGGCAGTACTGGGGTTTGAACTCAGGGCCTCATGCTTACAAGGCAGATACTCTACCACTTGGCCACTCTACTAGCTCGTAAATATTTCTTTATGCTGGTGGAGTGGCTCAAGTGGTAGGGTACATGCCTAACAAGCATAAGGTCCTGAGTTTAATCCCCAGTACTGCCAAAATGTTTCTTTTCTGTTAAACTGCAAGCTTGAGTAATTTTGTTTGTTTGTTTGTTTGTTTGTTTATTGTACTGGAGTTTGCTTGCTAGGCAGGTGTTCTACAACTTGAACCATAATCCAGTCCTTTTTTGCTTTACTTGTTTTTCAAATAGCATCTCACAGGAATTTTTGCTCAAGCTGGCCTCTGACCATGCTCCTCCTATCTATGCCTCCCCATCTAGCTAGGATTATAGAAGTGTACCACAGTGCCCAGCTTGTTATTGAGATGGGGGTCTCACTCACTTTTTGCCTGGGCTAGCATCAGACTGTGATCCTCCTACACATGTCTCCCACATAGCTGGGATTACAGGCATACACCACTATGTCCAGCCAAACTTGAATACTTTTTAGACCATCATTTGTATGTGGAGTTCATCAGCTAGTTGACTTTTGTTGTTATTGTTTGGTTTTGGTGATACTAGGATTTGAACTCAGGGCCTAGCGCTTGATAGATATACCACTTGAGCTGTGCCTTCCAGCTCTTGTGCTTTTTTTTTTTTCCTTAAATCACCAAGTGAAAGAAACTTTAGTCAGGAATCAGTGCTGAGTGAAGCTATTTTAAAGCCTATACTCTAAAATCTCTGGTATGACTCAGAGCTGAAAAAAAAAAATTTAAAAACTTATAATAGAAATAGTTAAAGAGAATCCATCCAAGTTCATAATTATGGTCTCTTGATAGAGGTAAAAGAGGAATATGTTCTGACTGCTACTTTTAAACTTGTTCTCTAGTAGTCCAATCCTTTTTTAGATGAGCTCGATACAGATCCAGGTACTATAGAGAATAGGCATGCTCGTCATTAAATTTTATTATCACGGCCTGGATGTTTCAGTATCTAAGCAGAAGTTGTCAAGTTTTTTTCTTTGAAGGGCCAGATACTAAATATTGTAGGCTTTGTGAGCTTCGTTTTTAGTAGATGATGGCCCTCAACTTTTCACTCAAAATTAATAATCCTGTGTAGTAAGAAACAGTGATACTTTGGTGTGTATTTCTCAAACTTCTTCAATAGTTTAAAGAGCATAAGAAATGCATTGCTAACCTCTAGTTCTTCATTGGGACCATTTGGAGATTGGGTTGTTCAGATTGAGACATCTGCAGTTCCCCCTGTTTCTTCATGCAACATTTAGCCCAGCCATGGGACAGAAATATAGGCCCTTGCTCATGTATCTTACCTGTATCATGTATCATATCTATATCATACCTGGATTCAGAATAGTTTTCAAAACAGAATCTTGGCCTTGACTAAGAGTTTTTTTTTTCACTTTCCTCTGAGCATAGGTCTTATGGCTTCCTATTCAAATATAGAATCTTGTTAGAATCCTTCATTTATTTCAAGAGAACGTCGCTTTATCCTCAGCTGAAAAACATATGATTCAGAGACTGGAGGGCTTGGCTCAACTGGTAGAATGCTTGGTTAGGCAACGTCTGGGTTCAATCCCTAGTACCACAAAAATAAATAAATGTGGTTCACTTTTTCTTTTTTGTCAGTACTGGGGTTTAAACTCTGAGCCATGCCCCTAGCCCTTTTTGCTTTTACTTATTTTTCATATAGGATCTTTTTGTTCAAGGCCAGTCTCAGACTGTGATCCTCCTACTTAATCCTCCTACTTAGCTGGAATTCCAGGTATGAGCTACAGCACCCAAACCTATGGTTCACTTTTTTTGTTGTAGTTAATGCTATAAATATTTCTTTTCTTTTTTTTTTTTTAAGAAAGTAGAAAGTAGTTTCAAAAAAGGAAGAAAATTTTATGTTTTTAAATAGAAACCTTCACATAATCTTAATGCATAAATACCCAGGGGTGGCCATGTTGTCTTTGACAGCCCTAACAGCATACGGTTCACTATTAGTTGACAATACGAGTTACACTTGGAGCAACAGTTGGATTTCAAACCTACTCCCTCCTAGTATGCTTCAAAAGTGTGCCCAAAATATTGTGGAGAGGATTGCCTACAGAATATGCATCTCGATTGCCTCTCTAAATGTTCCTAATTGAGTTAATCCTGATGAGCAAAACACTGTCAGTGTAGCTACACTAAATGGTTTTGGTTTCCTCTACAGCAGCCTTCCTGAATGGCTCTTTGTTTTATGATGCCTGCCATCTGTACTAAGGGGAAATAGTAAGAAACAGCCCTGGGCAACACACTGATATTTCTTTTGAAAGGATATTGTTCAGGACATTGTTATTTTCTTCCTTATGAAATCTTTGGAGAAATCTCATTATTGTCTTGGTAATACTTCAGTAATAATAAATCAGTAGTAATTATGCGTCCTTTAAGCAAGTGGTTTATTTTCTTACAGATACTATGATTTTATCTAACTGGTCAAATTATCTATTTTGTGTTGACCATTAGAAAACGTAAAGCTAAATTTGTGGTCTACCATAGCAAGTTTCTAGAACTCTATTTCGTTACAGCTATCAGGCCTTACCTAATATTTTACATTTTGTCATTATTGTCCTTTTCTTTCATTTTTTTTCTTATAGTTTATTTCCTCATCCTATATTTTATGTGTCCCCATAAACCACTTAAGCTGTTTAACCATTTTTTAAAACAAGATCTAAGTTTAAAATCAATAACTACAAAGGATAGTATCAAGAAATGAACTAGTGCCCCAAGAATTGGAGAAAGTTTTTGCAGATTAGGTCTCTAATAAAAAAAAATTTCTATCTAAAATATATAAAGACTTTTACATTTCAATACTCAAAGAAGCATGGTTAAAAAACAGACAAAGAATCTGAATAGACATTTCTCCCAAGATGACGTACATATGGCCAATAAGCACATGAAAATATGGTTACCCATCAGGGAAATACAAATCAAAACCACAATTAGATATTGCTTCATACCCACTAGGATCATATCTAAAAAAGCAGATAATAACAAGTGTCATTGGAACTGAGGAGAAATTGGAACCCCCCACACACACAATGCTGGGGAAATATAAAGTTATGCAGCCACATTGAGAAACAGTGACAGTGCCTCAAAAGTGTAAATATAGATTTGCCATATGGCTCAGTAATTCCATGCTATTTCTACCTGAAGAGAAATGAGAACATATGGCCACACTAAAACCTGTACACAAATGTTCATAGCTTAACTATGTATGGTAGCTAAAAGAGAAAACAATTCAAATGTCTATAACCAATGAATAGATAAACAATGGGATGAATATTATTCAACCATAAAAAGGAAATCAATTATTGATAAATGCTACATGGATGAACCTTACAAACATTATGCTAAGCCAAGAAGCTAGCCATAAGAGAGCACATATTACGTAATTCCATTCATTTGAAATGTCCAGAATAGGAAAATCCATAGTTACTTTGGTGGTTCCCTAGGGTGGAGCAGTTGGGGGAATGGAAAGTGATTGCCAATGGGCACAGGGTTTCTTTATGCAGGAATGAAAATGTTCTGAAATAATTTCACCCAGTCAGGGGTTATGGCTGCACAGATCTGTGAATATGCTAAAATCCACTGAATTGTACACTTTAAATGGACAAAGTATACCTCCAAAAAAGCTGTTATAAAAAGCAAAAATGTCATTATGGCATGTATTACTATTAACATTTATTTTTTTGTTGAATCCTTATATTGGAATAAGATTTTTAGTGGTGAATAAAATAGTTATCTCCTGGAAATAGTGTATGCTGATATTTATGTTACACATTGCCTGTGAATATATCAAACACATTAGCATTCTTACTAAGTGAAAATCTTGGGAGATTAAGATGTCATATGTACTTTCAGAATATATACTTTTTAATCTCTACCAATTAGTAGACAATAATAGCCTTGTTGACTAAGTAGATGGAATATATTCAGTATTGAGTTCAAAGAGCAAGAGGTCCTTTGGAAGGCTAAAGAGAATAAAAGTCCTCTCAGTGATATTCTTTGACATTTATTCCAGCTCCCGTTATTTTCACTGGAAAATGAACCTGTGTGTCATTCTGCTCATCCTGGTTTTCATGGTGCCTTTTTACATTGGCTATTTTATTGTGAGCAACATCCAACTTTGTGAGTATTCTGTCTTCTCATTTCAGCACATAGATTGAGATGTTATTCTTAGGGATTGGGATTGTGGACAGCTTCATTCCTACATTGCTTTCATAACTACTGCTTTGGGGGGGCACCTCACAGTATCTTAAAAAGGTCACAAAATGAATACTAAATGAATGATTAGAGTATTTGTCCTGCTACAGCTGTTTTCTGCTTCTACTATAATGTCTGTAGTAACTCAATCCACATCTTAATTTCAGCCAAGTTTCTCTTGTAAAGATGTGTTCACTAAAAATTGTGTAGTTCCATCATTTTGCCAAGCAAACAGCCAGCCAAATATTAATCAGCATTAGCTCATATTTTTAAGAAGAATGAGCTTTTAATAGATACCTGTTTTCCATAACTGTCTTGTCTTCTTTTAGTACATAAACAGAGACTGCTTTTTTCCTGTCTCTTATGGTTGACCTTCATGTATTTCTTCTGGAAACTGGGAGATCCATTTCCCATTCTTAGCCCAAACTGGTGAGTATATGAGGAAGTGGGAGAGGGAAGAAGGGTTGTTTAATTTGGTAATTTTGAAGAAAATTGTAATGTTTTAGAATTTCTCTTGTAGGAAATACAGAAAGTTATTTCTCTAAAAGATACCTGTTTTTTAACCAAAATTTCTGCTTCATCTTAGGGGCATCAAATGCTGATTTTTGAGACAGACTTCTGTCATTCTAGAACAGAATTTTTTTGTACCTTGGTTTAGTGAAAAAGTCAAGGGTTTAAAAGAATAGAAAGGTGTCCTTAACTTAAATTTTCTGATATTGTTTGCAGAATTATGGGAATATACATGTGTTGCGCACATGCACGTGCACCCGTTTTCTGTTGCCATAGTAAAATACCCGAGATAATCAACTTAAAAAGAGTGAGTTATTTTGGCTTACAGTTTGTAGGTTTCAGTACATGGTCAGTTGGCCTGTTGCTTTTGGACCTGTAGCAGGACAGAACATCATGGTGAGAGGGCATGACACAGGAGGCTGCTTCCTACATGGTAGCCAGGAAACAAAGAAAAACAAAGAGGAAGGGCTGGGGACCCAATATTCCCTTCAAGGACATGCCCTTCTATGACCAGAAGACTTCCAATTTGCCCTTGCTTCTTAAAGGTGCCACCACTTCCCAATAGTGCCTTGGGCTAGGGGCCAAGTCTTTTAACATGTAGGCCTTTGGGAGATACTTACTCAAACCACACTAGTATGTTTATCAATAACCTTTTATCATATTCTCAAAGAGGTCTGTGACCCAAAATGTCCACTGCTCAAGTGATGATAAAAATTATCTTTAGGTGGTGACACATGTCTATAGTTCCAGCTACTCAAGAGACTGAGGCAGGAGGATCAGTGGAGCCCACAACTAGATTGGGCAACACAGTGAGACCCCATATCAAACAACAACAAAAATCAAAAAACATTGTCTTTAAGGAATATATTTATTTAGGAAAAGAGAAGTACATAAAACACTCATAACTGATAGATAATGAAAAACTTTCCAAAAATCAGTGTCTTTCCTCTCATGCGTGTGTGTGCACATACGCACACCACCCCACACACAAATCATTTTAAATACAAGAAATTGGGCAGTCCCAATTTCTGTGCTAAAAACAATGACAAAAACCCTCAGCTAACAAGTCTTCCAGAACTATTTCAGAAGTATGTATGAATCTGTCTAAAAATATTAGTGTCTACGTGTAATAATTATACTGGCGCTATCATACTGGAAGTGTTTTTAATGCATATCTGTTCACTCATTATCCTGTATCTGTCAGGGTTTTTATTGCAGAAAACAAAATCTACAATAACTAGTTTAAGGCAGAAAGTGGTTTATTTACAGGATATCAGGCAATATATAGGATTTCCAGGCAAGCAGGGACATCAAGCTTAAGGGTTACATAGTGAAGAGATGTACCCAATCATGCCACAGTAATAACCCAAAAATCCCCACTAAAGTTGTTACCTCCACTAGGACCTGTGACATCAGGAACCAACAACTGTGTAACTTCTGTCCCAATTGCTCCTGCTCCCAAGTGCTGTCACCATCCCTACACTCACTGTTCACTTCTGCATTTGAGGCCTCACATGGGCATGTCAATTTGGTGAAACCTATGACCATTCAGAGCCTTACATCTAGAAGTCTGGAAAAGAGCTTTGTGCTTTCAAGACTGTAGAACAAAAAAGAAAAGTAGAAAGGATTTAAATGAAGTTGAGTGAACCAACATCTAGAATTGCCATATGCCCACATATCCTTCCTTGATAATATCTTGAGAAAGATTTTAAGACTCACCTACACTTGGATTAGGAAATGTGCAATTTAAAAAGCATATGCAACTGCATGTAAAAATAGCAGTTACTACCAAAAAAAAGAAAAAGAAATTTTACAGCTGAGTGCCAGTGGCTCACACCTGTACATACTAGCTACTCAGAGGCAGAGATCAGGAGGATCACGATTCAAAGCCAACCTGGGCAAATAGTTTGTGAGACCTTACCTCAAAAACTCCATCACAAAAATGGGCTGGTGGAGTGGCTCAATGTGTAGGTCCTGAGTTCAAACCACAGTACCGGAAAAAAAAAAGGAAGAGGAGGAAAAAATAGCTGTTCAGAGTTTCAAGTAGCCTGCCAAAAACAACTCAGACTCAGCACTGTGTACAAGACCTCCATTGGCCTGCCTACCTTCCTAGATGTTCTGTTTTCCAGTCCTGCCAAATTAAAGTTTCTAGAACGCTTCCATCAGTTGTGTAGCAGGGTGATAATCCTTCACCCTTTGGCTACCTGAAAAATTCCTCCTTATTCTTCAGTGATTCAACTTGTTTCAGTTACACTGAGAAGATTTTCCTGGCCATCATAGGACATTAATTGCTCCCACCGCAATGTACTTTAGTCACTTATAAAACTTACAATTATTTATTTCTTTTTCTAACTTCCCTTAACCTTTGGCTCCCTGAGGTCAGAAACTCCATTTATTTATCTTTGTATCCTATTGCCCAGAGTGGAGCTGAGCACATAACCAGTATTTGGTATATGCTTTTCAGCAATGGGGAAAAAAATTGAGTTTCCAAGACAATAGATGAGTTCAAAAATTTCACTCTATATAGGATTTGCTAATTGGTCAACCATACCCTTTTGTAGAAAAGGTTTACAATAGAAGGCTCTGACAGTATAGCTCTCATAAAACCTGTCTCAAATAAGCCCGCAGAGAGACAGATGTATCTGTATGTTAGATTCAGGGAGAAGAGTGATGATGGAGCAAGCACAGCTCTCATGTCATCTAGAGACTGTCTCTGATATAGCTCTCTAGCTTTCTCTTGTGAGCAGTCCACTCACATGACCACTTGAGCCTGGCCATACCAGAGGAAAGACAAAGACTACATATCTACTGTATTTTTGTTCATCCCTTTTTCTAAATTCTATGAGAATATCCTAAAAAGAATACTTAGAGAAAGCTGTGGAGATAGTTTCAGTTTTCATCTCTCTTTACACTTCAATACTAAGCATTTTAGCTTTATCTGAATGTTCAGGCGTCTTAATCTGTTTAACCTTTTAAGAAAAGTAGAGCACTGGTGGCTCACATCTATAATCCTAGCTACTCAGAGGCAGGAAATCAGGAATTATTGTTCAAAGCTGGCCCAGGCAAATAGTTCATGAAACCCCTATCTCAAAAATGCCAACACATGGAAAAAAGGGCTGTGGAAGGGCTCAAATGGTAGTACACAGGCTAGCAGGCTGAGGCCCTGAGTTCAAACCCCAATACACCACAAAAGAACAAAAAAAAAAAAAAGTAGAAAAATTCAAGCCATAGCTGAAGCAGCCAGGTTTACACTACCATTTTTAGAGCTTCCAGTATGGTTTATCACTGTGGAAACACAAAAAAA